GAACGGCTATTTTTATGGAAATTTCCATATTTTTTAAGTGCTTTTAAAAAAAATTAATTTTATCAACATAACATCGGAGCTGTGTGCATTCAATCTATTAGGAACCCGTGCGTACGCAACAGTATTAAATATTCATAATGTAAAATTACCTTGGAGTGAATTGACTTATTATTCTTTTCAGCTGCATAATTATTTGTAGAAATAGCTGACAAAATCAGAAATTACTTAATTGGAATCGTAGAAAAAAAATTATCCAGCATATCAACTAAAACATGAAGTTTAATTTATAATTCATGAAACCTGTGTTCGCAAATGATAGAGTGGTTTGAAACTAAGCCATACAGAAATTTTGGGGTGGAAAATTCGATGAAATAGGGAATATAAGGATTGAAATGAAAATAAGAAATAGTCAAGGGTAAAAAGCAAGGACGCGCAGCTCAAGATGCCAAACCTCAGTGCGTTTGTAGTAAGTTACACTCGCCAAAAGAGAACTTTGACAATTCTAACTTGCATAATTATCATATCTATAGTAACATTACATTTGCCAGTCAGCGTAGTAGTGATTTTGCAGTTGTTGATAATACAAAACACAAAAACGGGGATTCAGAAACCTAAATGTTGCACCAGCGATCACATTGGATATATAATGAAACTCCATGGCATCGTAACAATTGTGGACTTGTTTGTAATGTAATAAATGACATCCAGAAATAATATGACGTAATTATCAGTAAACTTACTTCAAAAGAAGAAATGATATTTAATGGAATTCTTCAAAAGAAGAATGATATTTATTTGGATGTAATTTAAGTATCTCTTATACGGGAATGAGACTTTTCCTATACAAAGGAAAATGAAGTATGTCTTAAATTATCAAAAGCTACGCAGAGAGACCGAGTGAAATGAAAAGAAACCCAAAAAACTTTATACGAGATAAAAAAAAAAGTTTAAAGATTATTCTATCTACTTCATAATTTTAGAATTTTATTAAAAGTGAGTGTACAAATTTAATTTATTAGCTAAGTGTAAAATGAAAAATTCAAACTTCTTGAGCCGAAAATAGGAAGAGTAATCATTCTCAAGTACTAAAATGGAAGTTGGGAGCAAAATGGAAGGAAACCTGGAAGTGGAGATACAGTTGGGTTAAGGATGAAGAAGTACCTAAAAGCTTAACGGAATACAAAGTTGGAACATAGGTTTAGAAACGTCGTAAAATGGATGTTTTAGGCCGCCGTTAATAGAGATTATCTTTAACAAAAGCTTATGCTGATAAAGCAAAGAACTGAAGCTAAATGAATTGAAATGAAATCTGAATAATGCGGTAAGTTACAAACATAACACAGTTTGAAATACTAATTCAGAAGTCAAACAACAAAAATCAGCGTTATATTTACAAACTTTTCACAGGACTAGTCACAGTTTGAAATATTGCACAATTGTTCACTAAAATGAATAGTTAAAACCTCAGATATATGGATTAACTTGCAAGAAATTCAAGAAAACAAGCGAGGAAGAGAAGTAAAGCAAGCAAAATGAGAGACAGCCATGATAAAAAGAAGTAACAATGATAAATTCTTATTTTGAAATGTAGCAAAAAAATATCCACAGAAATAGTCGAAGTACTGAGGTCATCTCATAGCCATCAACGCATTACAAAATAGTAAGCAGTAATCTATAGTATGCACTCTTTTGCATTCAGAAAACGCAAAGTAAAGGAAAGAAAATGGCACTCAGAAAACGCAAAATTTCAAATTGAGGGAACCATTAACTCAAAAATCTGGCATAGATATTTCTAATGATTAAAATTTACTAAACTTCTATTTTATCTAATGTTAACTTCGATTATAATGCGCATTTCTATTGTGCAACGTCATTCTGCGCAGTAGTTAACAATTACGTGCTGTGAAATTTCGCTTATTATTGTTCAAGGACTACGGGTTCATTGTAATATCGTGGCAAAACACTCGGCGGAGATCTTACAGTATTCGACAGTTTCGATGGAGGCCGAAATTATTGTTTTGCGTGTAGGTGATTAATCACATTGAGTAACATTATAATAGTTTTCCGATAAAAAATTGTTCCTGTCCATGTGGCACGAGTAATGTCGATATTGAGCACCTGTTGTTTAGATGCTCTTCTATGAAAAATATTGTAAAAATATTGTTCTAAGATTTATTCCAGATATTACTAAATTTAATATTCTGAAGGATCTGAGTAACAATACAGTGACTAAATTGAAATTGTCAAATTTCATAAAATATGTATCTGTAAATGAAATGAATTTATATATTGATTGTGTTTAAAACTTCCCTATGTGTTTTAAGGAAAGCTAGGATGTTTATGATATTCTGTTATTTTATTTCTTTGTATACATAAGTAACATATTTTTATGCATGTAAGTAACATGCGTTATATTTTGCAAAGTATGTAATAATGTGCTTTTGTTGTTTAGACTTTAAATTCATATTTTAGCTGTTTATTCTGTTTAAAGTTATTTCAGGTAGTATGAGGGTAGTTCTACTGCTTAATGGGCCTGATGTAGGCCTTGTGTTAGATCTCAATGTTTCTTAAATTATATAGCTCCACTAAGCCCTGTTAAGCCTCCAATGGCGGTACAGGAACTTCGACCAGTCATATTGAATAACAGATCTTGGTCGTAGAAACACTGATACATAAAGGTAATTGGAGCAATGGTTGCTGCAAGGTGTGTAACGATGATGTAGAGGCTCTGGTATGCCAGGATGCATAAATGTAACATAGGATCGGCTGATTGTTATACACCATCTTCATTATCACGCTTACACTCCACCTACAGTAATTTCCTTCATTTACGACGCTTAGCTGAGTTAGGGTTAGTTATGCTTATGTCTTCTTTAAAGACGGTTGACTTTACTACATTACTTGACAATATCATTTCAAATGATACCATGCACGAACATCATGGCTAGCCGCTGACTGGTATCATTTTATCTTGATTGAGACATCCCCCTTGAGTTCATAGGCAGACCATCATCTCATCCGCATATAATGAAGGTGTGCACTTCCAGAACGGTTTTATTGAGAAATAGCTTTCCTCAAATGATCGTGAGTACAATTCTTACAATTATGATATGTTTCTAACACACTGTGATAAATTGAACTACCATTACTGCAAGTCACTGCAGCTATGTTTCAGCAAGATAAAGCTTTCTCCTCTATGACTCGCGTACCTCTAGATTATTGCTTTGCTATTTCAGCTGTTTATCTTAACCGCTGTCGTATAACCACTACCTGAATGTGCATAGGACATTTTAGGTTTTAAAAGTACGACATACGGAAAGCCGAAGACCCGGAACAATAATTCAGAAAAGTTTCAAACAATTTATGGCATAATAACATTAGAAATCTGCACAATTCCTTACCTCGAACTATGCACGCATCACAGTCAAGGAAGGTTTCATAAATCTGAAAATGGTAACATTTAAGATGCAACTGCTAGCCATTAAAATGTCCTAAGATCTTCAAACTGTAATCATTTCATCATCTTACGTACAAGATTTATGCGTGCTTAATTTTATTAAAAATAGACTACTCCCATTATGCGACATGGAGGTGTTTCTCCTCTTTTCTTTGGTTTTTCCAAATAACCTACTCCATATAGCGGCACAACTAGATGTGAAGGAATGAAGAAAGTATTTTCCTATTACCAGCATCAAATATTCGTAATAATAAACTCGGAGATTAATTAAACTTTCTCATCGTAATGCTGAGAGTGAGAAAATCAAGAATATTCATTTCAACGATGACAAAGAACACCAAGATGAAATCGTCACTTATTCTTAAACTTTTTAACACCAAGTCTGTTCGTAGTGACTGTAAGTAAAATCTTTCTTTTTATATTGATATGTACTCAGACATAAGTTAAAGCACTCTTGGTATCCAAGACACAGAGCCTCAGGAGCCCAAGTATTTACTTTCCTTCCTTTATTGAGGAAACTGAGTAGGGTATTTGTCTGAAATTCTTAGTACATTTAAATAGAAAAATACATAATAGCACAAAAGGTCATGTGTAGTGTTACTAAGTATCAATTGTATTGTCAATACAGTAGAATGTCTTCACACTTGGATAAAGACTCATAGATGACACTGTTGTGGTGCTGAGAATGATTAAAAATTGTTTTATCCTTTAATGATAGTACCCATTTTTGGTATAAGGTCGTTGCAAATATTTAACCTCTGTATTAATATAAAAATATTTAAAGGAATGTATAAATTACTAAATATCTAAGAGACTGAATTGTAATGTAGAACTACCATTCAACAAATAATGCTCCAGCAGATATAGCTTTGCCAAATCTTATAGTAGTTAAGATTAAATTAGCCATTATATTTTGCCTAAATAATACTGCTATAAAGTAAGATACAATATAGAGAATAATTTCTGAATTCTGTTCTTGTGACGATTTCTAATGAGTTTTTCTAAGAATCTGCTGCTTTTGCGTCGGCTGCTATAGCAACACCTTCTTGATCACTACCCGAGTTCATACTTCAATATATGATTTGACTACTTAGGTTTTATTAAAAATGGGATTAAATTACTAATATATCTACATCCAAATCCTGTTTAAGAGCAAAATATTTTTAATCTCCAGTTGAGCAGTAAAGTTGCATATATTTCCTTTTGTGTTGCACCATCATACTATCTATGCTTCTGCAATTGAGTTCTTGAATTAAATTATACTTTTTCAATGTAACTGATTGTGTTTTTTGTTGACATCAAATCAAATTTTAAAATACAGAACAATTATTTTCAAAATTGTAAAATGAAAATCAGAATAAGATACAAGATTTTATTTTGAAAAAAAAATCAGTTAGCTAACACAAAAGTCTTTTTTCGGCCAGTAAAGTACAACTGCTGATATTAATATAATTACAAAACCTCTCTCGTATGTTTCTATTTTGTGAGTATTTTCTTTTATCCGGACAATAATGCCAGTCATACAATTTACATAAACACCACATACTAAGTTTTATTTATCACATATTAATTTTATTCAAAGTAATCGTGCAGCATAGTCAGGTAATTTAATATTCCATATTATTCTTGAGATAATAGCTTCTTTTATTAGAATACTAGAATTCCGAATAAAGATAGGAACTCAGGAAAAAGTGGCAGAAAATTCCTAATTCTCAAGTGACTTAAAAAACTCATCAAGAAGCTGGCCAAGAGTACGATTGGAGTCCACTTCGGTCATTGAAAAAAGCAAAAATACAAGCAGCAAAGTTACCTAAAAATAAAAATTAATATCTTATATTTTTGTAACAGATTTAAAAAAATAAAAAACAAAATCCTCCGTGTTAAAAATTTATTCCATAATATGATGCCAATCTGTTGATCTAACTGTGTTCATCTGTGTAGTAATTTTTACATAAAACATCTTCATGTACTTCAGATGCAACCGAAGCATCCATTTCATTGCATGTGGAGAAATTAAATTTTTATTAAACAATTCGTGATTTTCATCCAGTGTAACAGATAAACCCGTTTCCCTTAAAACTTCTCCCACGGAGCATCCCTTCTTTTACATATGCAGCTAGCGTGTGCTTTGGTATAAAGTAACTTAACCTCATTTGGGAAACCGAACTATACATAGAAAGTTAACGTAATAACATTAAAGTAATCCTACCCAAAGATTGTAGAATTATCATTGAGTATGTTACAAAAGCAATGCCCTTCATTGATGCTTTCATTCATAAAATATTTAACATGCCTTTGAGGAATAGAAAAGTCGCTGAAATATGCTAGTAGGATATTAAACAGGTTCATAATGCTGAAAAAATATTAATTTTGAAGAGGATTCCGAAGAAATTATCACTTCAACTCTTAAGGTCTAATATCCAGTCTGTTCGTACTGACTACAGGTAAGTGTATAAGGTATTTCTCCCACTTCCCTAGCGTGCCTTCGTGGTGTAACGGTAGCACACTGGGCCGGTATTCCAGAGGTCCGTGGTTCGATTCCCGGCGAAGGCGATTGCATATTTTTCATCTTCTGCTTCCAATTAACCTAACGACTCTACAAGTGTTCTTTTAATATTTATATATAAATCGAAGACTTATTGTTTTGTTTAATGAGAAAGTTATCAAAGTATTGACATGATGGCAAAGTATTGACATGATTCCGCATTTTCATTAAATAGTGTATTGCATATTCCACCAGTTTTTTGAAATAAAAAATAAAAAGCACTTCTGGGTTTCATTCGTTTCTGAATTAAAAAGCATTATAGCAGGCATTTTGACTATCTATTAAAATCCGTCACGAAGCTACATCAGGTATATATGAACTAACTGAAATGGGAGATATGTGCCAGCGGTGTACTAAGTTCATTCAAGAAATACTTGAAAGTGAAGGGTGGTCTATCGGATACGCTGGATTTAAATTTCCCACCATTTTTTTTATATTTAAGTTGCCCATTGTTATTCTTAAAACCCATTACCAAGTTAGCTGAAGTTTTACAGAAACTACGAAAATTTGATAGAATTCTGGATACTCATATTTCACTTAATGAGTCCATCGTTCGGTTTGTTTTGATTTGGTTCCTCCGATTATGACAAAGCACTCGACGGCTTTCTGCCTAAGTGCACAGATGCCTTCGTGGAAGACATTTTAATAGAAACAGGCTCGTATATACGTTACGCATGGGGAAAACCACACAAACGCTCATGGAACCAACGCGTTCGCTGGGATTCAAACTCCTAGAGTCCATCGTTCGAAAGTTAATATAAAAAAATTGAAAAAAACTATTTCGGCTTATGGACAGTGATGTGTCGTAGGCTTCATAAAGAAGGACTAGGCATAAGAAAAAGATAATTTTTGAATGGTTAAAATAACAAAGGTAATAATATATACAACATCCTTTCGAAGATGGTCTTCTATGTGGACTTGCAGTTTTATGAATTGAAAGTAAGGATTACCACCAAAAAAAAAGTTTAAAAATTATAAATATTTATATCATTAAAAATAGCTTATAGTTATATCATATATAAATATTTATCTATATATTTAAATGTTAAAATGATTTATTCCAGAGACAATATTGAAATGAGGTTGCCTTCCCTGCACAGCTTGTATACTAAACTGTCTCGTAAAGTGTCGCGTACGCGCAATAGATCTCTCAGTGCAACCGCTTCGGCTACACAGCGTTTCTCACTCTGTGATATTTTAGAAAGTATGATTATCATTGGAGAAAATTCTCTGTTACATTAAAAAGTTTACGATTTTATATTTCAGCCAAAGATTTTTAAAGATTTATTAAAATAGAATAATATAATATAAAAATTATTTTATTTATCATTAATTAGTTGCAATTTATATTTCGTAATGGCTTTTACACATTTATATTATTTTTCTCATATTTATTATATTAAGAATTACGCATTTTAAATTTTAGCTCGTTCATAAAAATTTCAGTTATGTTGTCAGTTTAGCAAAAAATGTTATCTATAAGTAACTAAAGAGTTAAAGATTTAATAATGAGCTAAAAAAAACTTTTAAATTTGTAATTTTTCAAACAAGTAAAATGTTTCAAATCCGGTTCTCAAATAATAGGGTAATTTCATAGTAAAACTTAGATAAAAGTCTTGCATTGTTATTAAACCAGATCTTCACTGCATTGCGCTGATCGTTATCAACTTTTGTTTACTATAAACCAAGAAAACTAAACGAAATTAATCTTTCATTCACTTAAAATAATATGGTTATATTAGCACACCTTGTATATTACTCCTATTTTGAGAATATTTCCCGCTGTTTTGAATGCTGATGATAAATTACAGTAATGTGTACATACAGCAATTAAATAAATCACAAATGACGTTTAATAAACTCGTGTTGCTCGTTTTTGTAATCGAACGAAATCAGTTTCCTATGTTAGCCTTTTATAACTATCCTTTATTTCTTGAATAATTAGGATGCTACAGAAGTATATGATTTACCACAGTTAGTTATAGGATATGGACGAGGAACAGGGATGTTCCTCTTTCTGACAGGTACTCTCAAGCATCTTAAACGTTGCTGCCAGGAATATCATTCAGCCGTTCTTCCGTTGTAATAAGGAAAATTCAAGGCACCAAAATTATCTGAAAATTCAAAATAATTTTTAACTAGCTCAAGTTTTAATTTTATCATATATGTAACAAAAACATTCTCTGTTAATTCGTCAATACATTTATGTAATCCCTTGATATTTCAACGAAATTATCAGTATGTAACGTTGCGCGCCTCCAACTTGCACGCAACCAAGAGGTGACTGTGGAAACTGGATAAAACACCGAGTCTTGTGAAGGGTTTAAGTCCCTTTTTATTCAACGTAATAAATTACAATTGCGTGCTCTTGACGCTTACAGACGGCGCCAACTCGGCGGTCAAATAAAAATAATCACCTGAAAAGAAACTAAAGACAAGACTCTAACTACGAGGCTCTCTAAAATAACTAAACTCACCGCGTTTTACAAATACCGCTGCTAATTCAGCAGACTTGAAGCTCCCTTGAACGGTTAACACTACTTCCCGCCAAGCACATAGGCGAACGAAACGCGGGGTTCTTCAATTTCTCGCTAACTACCTTCGCGCGCTCGCGTGAAGTAGAATATTCACACACCGAACTTGTTTCCTTCTATTTAAATCAGAATACTTCCGCTGATAATTTGAATCCTTGCGCGTTCTACTAAAATTTACATATTCTGGCATTGGCAGTTCCAGGGGAAAGTAAGGCTTGACAGGAAAGATAGTTTAAACTTAAAATAAATGTTAGTTAAAATAAATATAAACCCTACATTTGCCGCTGCCAGAATTTGGAAAACTTGGAAGCAGGTCCTACAAACGACCTGTTGTAAGTTTTCTCTAATTCTGAACTAACTGGCGAGAACCTCGTTTACACAAAAAAAAATCTTATGTAACAATTTGTATACTAAAATTTCTGTTGCTCGTTATAAAGCTCTCTTCTTACAGCAACTTTTCCTGGACTTCATCAATCAATCTTGGTCTTTCCTTCCAGCATCTGGAAGGAAAAAGTATCAGTATCTTTCTACATACATTATAATTTACACTTTCTTGACACAATAAATTTTTGTTTTTAACGATTCGTTTTTCTTACTTATTGCTTAATTCACATTCATTCAATTTTTCAAGCATTAATTTAACTTTACCCTGGCTCTCCACCGTGTGTGGTGTCAAACGGGAATATTCGTGTTTTAGACTTACAACACTTTCCCTAACCACCACGATTTGTTAGAATTCAACAACCAGCTAGACACACCTTACTCGACATTCTACAACTCCATGAGCTACTTTAATAGTCTTAAAAATTCAAATGTAGGTGGAGAACCCTACAAAACACATTCATTCTAACTTCCCCCTCATTCATCTTTAAACATGCAGGCTTTCGCTCTAAAGCATGACTTTATCTACAATTTAATACTTAAATTTTGACTTCATTGCTTTTAAGCATTCACTTTTAGCATCTACAATTTTATGCTTCTAGACTAAATTCTACTTTTACATAACATTCAAGTATTTACATACATTTACAAAATTTTAATACATATGCTTTTTACAATTTACCATAAAATGAATAAGAGAAAATAAATTTTTACTTTACTCATTCTTCGCCAAGCTGGACGGCACTGAAAGTAAAATTCTTATTAATACAAGAATACGAAGTTATTTTTATCTTCGGCCAAATTTTGGCTTTAACATAACAGAATTAGTCTTTCGACCAACAGAAAATGCTTGTTTTTAGCTTTTACACTTAAAGAAAATAATACTTTTGCCTTAGCTAAATAAAGTAAAACAAAACTAAGTCTCAACCGAGACATATTGACTTTCGTCAAAAACATAGAACTTCGTACTTATGCATAACATTTCGGAACAAAAGAGAAAAAAAATTATAGAAGGTTTTAACTTATCTTTGAGTTTTCGATGCTTGAAACTCCGTCATTCCGTTTTTGGCAAGAATTGGTCCCAAGTTAGAGGTTTCATGGATGTTAATCTTCTCCTTACTGATGCCCTCCGAGTGTCGTCCACGTCCACCTGACTTTTTCTTTTGCGTCCTCTACATGCTGGCCTCTTGGCGGAGTAATCGTCTGGTTGTTGGCATTTCCGTTTTCTACCTGGGACGGCTGGTCTTGACGTCCTCCGGTCTGGAGTCCTTCTTGAATTTCTTCTGTTCCTCGTATTTTTGTGCCTCCTGTTGCCGTTTCAGTTTCCGGAACGGCGGCCTTGCTGGCACC